TGCCTTTTATTTTGTGTTTTTGTAGAGTGGGAGTATCTATTGCCTATGTTTATGCAAGTGTAGTTAATTTCCTTAGGTTGGAGTTTTCCTTCCAGTACTTTCTGTAGGGCTGGATTAGTGGTTACATATTGCTTAAATCTGGTTTTGTCGTGGAATATCATGTTTTCTCCATTTATAGTGATTGAAAGCTTTGACAGGTATAGTAGTCTGGGCTGGCATCCATGTTCTCTCAGAGTTGGTAGAATATCTATCCAGGTCCTTCTAGCTTTCAGAGTTTCCATGGAGAAGTCTGGTGTAATTCTGATAGGTTTGCCTGTATATGTTACTTGGCCTTTTTCCCTTGCTGCTCTTAATATTTTCTCTTTATTCTGTACATTTGGTGTTTTAATTATTATGTGACGAGGGGACTTTTTTGTGGTCCACTCTATTTGGCATTCTGTAGGCTTCTTGTACTTTCACTGGCATGTCTTTCTTTAGGTTGGGAAAGTTTTCTTCTATGATTTTGTTGAATATGTTTTCTGCACCTTTGAGTTGGGTTTCTTCACTTTCTTCTATACCTATTATCCTTAGGTTTGTCTTTTCACGGTGTCCCATATTTCCTGGATATTCTGTGTTATGAATTTGTTAGACTTCAGATTTTCTTTGCTTGACGAGTTCATTTCCTCTAGTTTGTCTTCAGCATCTGAGACTCTATCTTCCGTCTCTTGTATTCTGTTGGTTATGCTTGCATCTGTGGTTCCTGATTGTTTACTCAGCTTTTCCACTTCCAGCATTCCCTCAGTTTGTGTTTTCTTTATTGTCTCTAATTCAGTTTTCAGGTCCTGAACTGTTTCCTTCAGCTGTTTAATTGTATTTTCTTTGCTTTTTTGGCTTTCCTTGATTTTTTGCATCTTTTGCTTTGTCTTTTCTTCCATTTCTCTGAAGGATTGTCTGATTTCCTCTCTTAGGTTCTCTATCATCATCATGAAGTTGCTTTTAAGGTTGCTCTCTTCTGCTTCTTCTGTGTTCGGGTGTTCATGTCTTGCTGGTGTAGAGTCCCTAGACTCTGGTGGTGTCATATTTGTTTTCCTGTTGTTGGATGTGTTCTTATATTGTTGTCTTCCCACCTCTTCTTCCAGTGGGTATAGTTGGTGTCACTTCCTTTCCTGGTGTGTATGGGTCCAGTGTTCTCTTCAGGTGTGTGCAATTGACTTTGATACTCTAATGGGTTTCAAGTTGGGTGCAGGCAGATCTGAGGCACTCTCTCTCCAGGTGGGTGAGAGCAGCTCTGGCGCAGAGATGTCAGCAGACTCTGGGTTTCTTGGTCCTCAGGGGTCCAGTCGTTCTGTCGAAGATCCTGGGGCAGGATTTGCCAGGGTGGGCAGACGGAAGTTGGGCCCAACGCAGGGGCTGAAGCAGCTCACCTCTGCACTCTGTGCACTCTCTGGGGGCCAGAATAGCCCAGCGATCTCAGCAGAGTCAGGATCCCAGGGTCCTCAGGGATCAATTCAGTCTGCCTGCAGATGATACTTTAATTTTTTTCACCCAACTTTTCTGGCTAGAACCTCTAATAAAATGATGAACTGATATGGGAAGAACAGACATCATTGATTTTTCTCCTATGCATTCCCTCTTTTGATATTAGTGTTACAAATGGGGCTTTCATAGATTACTATAGTCAGGTTATAGGAATTTCTTCCACCTATAAGTTTGTAACAGTTTTTTTTTTCTTCAGTCTTCCTTCAGTTTTTGTGCTATCATGCAATTGTCTTTTATAATATAATGTTACCTGAATTTATTTTAAGAAATTGATTTTTTTGTGCATGTGTGAGTGCAGCACACACATGAAGGTCAGAGAACAAGTTGTACAAATTGGTTCTTTCTTTCCACCATGTGAGTCCCAGAGATCAAACTCAGGCTTGGTGGAATACACCTTTACCCACTGAGCAATTTTACTGGTCCATGAATTTTCAGGTGTTAAATAAGGCTTGTTTTTGGTGAGAGGTGATAACTCCCATTTGGTTTGAAAGGGTGAGCAAATGATTGTTATTAATACTTCTGTAAGTGTTTGCCAGAATTCATCAGTGAAGTTGTTTGGGCTTGGGCTTCACTTCTGGAATGAAATTTATTTTGTTTGGTTCTGAGCCTTGAATGTTGTAAACACATGCTCTATAGATGAGCTGTACCTCCAACTATAGAACTATTTAGGTTCCTTTTGTTTTTGTACATTCAGCTTTTTATTGAACACATCAGTCGAAGAGGTTTATTCAAAAAGACCGAGCCCATGTCATCATCAGACTCCTCGTGTTCTCTCTTTTTTGCCTCTACTTTCTTCTCCTCAGCTGGGGCAGCAGCAGTGGAGGGGGCAGGATGGCCTTCTGTCACCGCTTCAGTGCTGGAGCAGGGCAACCAGGCCCTGCATTGACCATGAGGATCCCAATGTTGACATTAGCCAAGGCCTTTGCAAATAAGCCAGGCCAGAAAAATTCAACATTGACACTGACTGCTTTAATGGAGGCATTGATCTTATGCTCTGCCACTGGGCACCTTGTTGTAGAGGGTGAGGGCCAAGTAGAGGTGCTTAACTCAGAGTAGGATTTGATGTGCACTTCAGGCACCATGCTAGTCCCCAGATGGTGTGAGAGCCTCACAGCAGTGTGGCCCTAGCTCCCTAGGAAGGGTCAAGAACTCTAATAGCAGTTAAAGAAAGGGGTACCTTGCTATTAATTCCATCTGCTTGCCTATAATGGATTTATTTTGATTATTTATTTCTTTATGATATGATGGGATTGTCCTTCTGTATATATGCTTCTCTTATTGGTTGATGAATAAAACACTGATTGGCCAGTAGTCAGGCAGGAAATATAGGAGGAGCTACCAGACAAGGAGAATGCTGGGGAGGGGAAGGCAGAGAAAGGCCAGGGCAAGAGACGCCATGTAAAGACCAGGGAGATAGGGCGTGCCAGCTATTCTCTGGTAAGATAAGGCCATGTAGAAATACATAGATTTAGCAGTTATGGGTTAATAATTAAGAGGGAGCTAGCCAGTAAAAGGCCCTAGTCATTAACAAACAGTTTATAAATTAATCTCTGTGTTTATTTGGGGCAAAGCAGCTGTGGGACCAGGCTGGACAGAAACTCCAGCTACAATGATACAAGTTTGGCAATTTGTGTTACTTTAGGAATTTACCCATTGTGCCAACATAGAGATGATGGTAAGGTATAGCCTCTTTTATTTCTGCTACTTGTAATCTTCCCAAATGTTCTATCAAATTTTTTTGGAGCAACTGATTTGGTTGCATTTCCTGCTGTGTTCTATTCTAGTTTATTAACGCCCACTCTGTTGAATTCTTCCTTCTGCCATTCTGGATTTGGTCTGCTTTGCTTTCTCCAGCTAGACACACCATGGTGTGGCCGTTTAAACTTAACTACAAACCTGCTTCCATATCACGCTTCAGTTAATCCATCTGTAGCTTGTTCTTTTCTAGTTACAACTCTCCCACTGAAGATATAATATTTTGCCCACATTATTAAACAATGAATGTGAATTTGTCCACTGAGGAACTTCATCTGAATGAAATCATGGCATGCATTTCTATATGTGGTATCTTCTCCCCAGTGTCCTGTGTGGATTATTGTTACATGTATGCAAGTTGTTAAATTGATTTCTGTGTCCTGTTACCCTAATATGATACTGTATAATTTACCTAAAAACCTACATAGCTATAATGTATTATTTCATTGTTGAACATTTGAGCTTTCTAGTTCAGTGCTAATGTAAATAATGCTGTTGTAATTGTACATGTGTCTTGAAGAACAAATGCATATCATTGTCTAGTTTTGAGACTAAAAAAAGTACTGGGAGATGGGGCCCATGTTTTTCCAGACAATGCCACAGTGTTTTTCAGTGTGACTGAATCACATTGCTTGTTCGTAGTAACTTATCATATTTTCCATTGCCACCCACCCCTGAAACACTTGATATTTTCAGTTGTTTTAATTTTAGTTCTTCTAGTGGGTGCAGCCATATCTTGTTATGATTTTAATTTTAATTTCCACAATTATGAGAGATACTTGGCTCCCTTTAGACATTTATTGATAGTCAGACTATTCTCTTGTGTGAAATTCCTGTCCAAACCTTTTGACCTATTTTTTCCTGTAATCATGGGTTGTTCAAACTCTTTTTTGTTTGTTTGTTTGTTTTTGTTTTTGTTTTTTTGAGAATGTGGAAACTCTTATAAGCTCTGCAGAGAATTCTCTTGTCATTTGTACAAGCAAATGGGTCATCTTTACTTTTTATCTTTTTATTCTCTTTTTTAAAACTAATAATTTTTAGAAAGATTTATTTATTTATTTATTTATTTATTTATTTATTATGTATACAGTGTTCTTCCTGCATGCCGAGAGGCCCACAGATCTCATTCTAGATGGTTGTGAGCCACCATGTGGTTGCTGGGAATTGAACTCAGGACCTCTGGAAGAGCAGCCAGTGCTCTTAACTCCAGATTTTATAGATTTTAAACCATATTCAATAAACTTACAAATCCTGAGATAGATTTATGACATAGTCCTAAGAGATTTTTTTTAGAGCAAAGAGCAAAGAACTCATAAAGATAAAAGATTTTCAAGAGTGTAAAGAAGAAACAGCTTAGAGATAAAAAGACTTCTGAGAGTAGAGAAGAGCAGGTTTAGATATAAGAGATTTGAGGACCATTTGTTTGTGCAGTGGCAGAAGTTGTTATAATTTGCAAGAATTTGAAAATCAGGTGTGATGGGGGATGTCCTTCTGTATGCTGTTAATATATGTTTCTCTTATTGGTTGATGAATAAAACACTGATTGGCTAGTAGCCAGGCAGAAAGTATAAGCGGGGCTACCAGATGAGGAGAATTCTGGGGAGAGGAGGCAGAGAGAAGTGGCCAGTGAGATGCCATGTAGCTACAAGAAGATAGGACAAGCTGGGCATTCTCTGGTAAGGTAAGGCCATGGGGAAATACATAGATTAATAATTATGGGTCAATAATTAAGAGAGAGCTAGCCAGTAAGAAGCCTAATTCAACAACCTAATAGTTTATAATTAATATAAGTATCAGTGTGTTTATTTGGGGCTAAATGGCTTGGGGACCAAGTAGAACAGAAACTCTGTCTATATGAGTGTGTCGTGTTTTAGCCGTTGAGCTGTACTGAGGTCAAGTCATTTGTAGAAAGACAGCAAAGCTTTGATGAAATCTCTGAGTCAGAGGAGGAAAAAAGATTAGAAAAAACAAATCAGAAAAGGAGAGAAAATGTCACAAAATGGGAACTCTACCCAAGAGAGGATTCCTATATTGTAGAGTCCCAGGAGGGCATAAGAAAGCTGTGGGACTTTAACAGAAGGCTCCAGTGACAAAGGACAAACAGCAAGGACACAGACATGAGCAGTTCCTAGGTAGAGATGAGAAAGCTCCAGGAGGAAGCTGAGAACATGTAGGAAGGGAGAAAAGGATGGGAGAGAGAAGGATAAGTATCCTGTTGACAAGGATTTCAGTTGGGGTGTGGCATCCCTAAGCATACTGAGAGACTTGTCAGAGAGAAATGTCCCGAATCATAAGGGAGATGGGCATCCTGCATGTGATGGAGGCCCAGTGGGGCAAGAGGAGCTTCCCAGCACACCAGTGTGGCTTTCTATCATAATAGTAGGCTCCAGTGAGCCAGCTGAGACACAACAGGCAGTTCTGAGGTAACAGTTACCAAGTAGATGAGGATCCAGCAGGCAGAAGGAGAAACAAAGCCTTTGCATGTGACCGGTGCCCAGGAGAGCATCACAGGCTCCAAGAGCCAGAGAGACTGAGAGATGCCAGGAATCTCAGTGGAGAAGCATACCAGGTAGAGGGAAGAAGTGGCTGAAGAGGCAGACTCTAGAATGTGGACTCAAGTATGGTGGGTGCAGGAACAAATGACCTACACATGCCTTAGGAGAGCCAGATCAGCAGCTTGGTTCAATTAGGAGAAGCCAGGCCCTTGGAAGGGGTCTGTCTATTTGTGGCCCTCCCGGAGGTTTTAGCATCAGGTGAGGACATGACTATTTGTGGTTGAGGGGAAGGTTTCTATTGTAGATATGAGGGAGAGTGTGGCCAGAGGCATCTGGAAATGTCAAGAGCAGGGAAAGTAGTACATTCATCATGGCTAGCAGACTGGGCTGGGCCATGAGAGGATGAAAGGCATGGGTCACCACCGCCTGGCCTACATTGTTAGTTTTTGAGGCAGTGTCTCATCCTGTAGTCCAGGCTGATTTGGAACTCAGTATGTATGCTGCTGGCTTTGAACTCCTGATTACCCTGCTTTGTCCTCTTGAGATTATAGATGTGTCCCACCATACCCAGCATGGCTCTAGATTTGGGGTTTTCAAAATAAATCCCCACAGCATCACTTATGGTGCTATGTCTCACCTCCTTCTGGGAGACAGAGTTTCACTATGTAGCTGAGGCAGGGCTTGAACTCATGATCTTCCTGCCTCAGCCTTCTCAGTACGGAGCTAGCAGAAGTGAACCACCACATCTAACTTGCTACAGATCTTAGAAGCAGTAAATCAATAACATTGTCTATGTTAAAGTAAGCACTTTACGATGATAACTAATGTAGTAATGTTTTCAAAACATTTGCCTAATTTACCTTACTCATTTATACACACAAAATACTGGTAATGATTCAAAAGTGATGGGGGGGATGTGGATTAACCACTTGTTAACACAGCCAGCGCATCCAGTTTTTTTGTTTGTTTCTGAGACAAGGTCTTGCTTTGTAGCCCAGGCTGGTCTTGAATGTATAGCAATCCCCCTGCCCCTGCCTCCTAAACTCATTCACCAACACCCTGACACACTGACTGTGCCTCTTGCTGTTTATCAGGAACGTTTTTGCTTTAACCTCACTCCACTTGTAGGGAATAGGGCACTTAGAGCTCATGTGATTCTCTGGGGAGATGACAAGAGCTCAAAGGGCTTCGGCCTTCAAATAGCTGTCAGCATTCCGTGGTGAGTCTCCCATCAGGCTCAGAGGCAGCAAAGTCATCCGGCCTTATCATACACACAAAGGCCTCCTTTAAACTTGAGCCATCTGCGCTCTGGCACTTTCCAATCTCCTCTTGGATATGTAATTTGAGGGCCTCTCACAGGGATTCCAAAGTGTGTGTGCTGATACCTCCTTGCTCAGCTTTCCCTTGTCATTGTCCCGATACACAGCAACTGAAGTGACCCTTCTGCTGTCCAGGTGGCCAGAAGGCTTTAACTGAGACCTACAACCAGTGCTGCTGTCACTTGACTCCTCTCAGTCAGGGTGTGACTGGATGGGTAGAGCTGTGGCTGCCCCTGCACCTAAGGGTCTTGCTTATCAGGTGCTAGGTTGTGTGGTGCATCCCTGACTTCCTGGACAACTGTTCCATCTTGTCTGAGCCATCCCCGCAGGGAGCAAAGCAGCAGTTAGGAGGTTTCTGACTGGGCCGGGCATGGTGGTACCCTCACGGAGCAATCTCTGCCCATCAGATGCAGTGTATGCATGGAGCCTTGGTTCCCATCCAGGCTTGCAGCAGAGCCCAGGACTGGGATCCTATGCTGCTCCATCCACAGTCCTGGGCTCACAACCCCACAACAGCTACTGCTCCTAAAGGCTTCTTAAGTTGATTTACTGTCATCTTATGATGGAGAATTTCTAGAAGACAGTTCAGATTAGATACACAGACTGCTTATGAAGAGGAATTATAGCTAGTTCATAGTTCAGGTCATAATTAATCATCAAAAACCATAAAGATGTGGCTCGAAGGTGGAATGCTTGCCTAGCATTTCTAACTACAAAGATTTGAGCCACAGCACCATAAAACAAACAATAAACAAACAAAGCTGGCCTCTGTGTTGTTGGAGTGCACACCTCACCTACGAGGTCAGGCCTTGGGAGACTGAGTCAGAGGGATACACAGCGAGAGCATATCCTTTAAAACTTAGAGCAGCCTAACGTAGTGGTGCCCCTACACTTAGGAGGCAGAGGCAGGCAGATCTCTGTGAATGTGAGGCCAGCCTGGTCTACCTGGCAAGTTGAAGGCCAGCCATAGCTACATAGAGACTCTGTCTAAAGTACACACACACACACACACACACACACACACACACACACACACACACAGCTGAACAGTAAGTGAAAGACAAGCAAAATGTATCCCATCAAAAAATATGACAGAAAACTAAGAATTCAGGATATTTTAAGCCATTAAGACAGATATATTTCTCTATATAATAGTCTTTATGTACATCTGTTGTGGTTATTTTTAATTAACTAATGTGGGGGATTCCTGTAGCCCAGACTGGCCTTGATGTTGGTGAGGATGCCCTTGACCTCTGACACTTTTGCCTACATGAGAGTTTGAGACCAAAAGGGTTCCATAAGACCCTGTCTCAAAAACAAGCTTGTACATTGGAGCACCAATATTTTTCCTCCTTTGTGTTATCTCCAATGTGGCTGCATATGATGCCAGAAAGAGATGCAGTTCATTGTACCTGCTTTCTTAAGGGGGTGACACAACCCGGACTCTAACACAGAATGTGGGCCTTGTGATCCATTCAATCAAGTCATCTGAAGATCACAGCATCTGAAGATGGTTTCTCTGTGCACCTCTACCCACTACAGGCATGGTACCTGTACTGGCTTTTAAGTGGATGTTGGCTCATTACATTGTAAAAAGTCAGTAAAGTGATTCCAGGGTTTCGAATGGATCTCTTCCCACTGTATTCATTTGAAATGTATCTCTGGAATAATGCCACATCTGCTGTGAAGAGATCTGGGAAGAGAGCAGGACAGAAGTGACAGTGGCTCTGCTGTGGGATGTGTATCTGTCCCAGAGCTGTGCCTTCTCTGTTTACAACTGGAAATAGCTTGAGTTCCTCGCCCTTCCCCCCACCCAATTATTTTTACCATGTAGTTTAAGACATTTACAGAGTGAAAGTGAAATCATCCCCACATACACTTGGGCTTGTTTTTAAAGGCAACACGAGGAGAGGAGATAATTTGGGTCACTTTAAGTTTGGAGTAAAAGATACAAGTAACCACATACACCCAGATTTTTACATCACAGAAAAGCAAAAAAGTGCATTTTGGAAAACCTCTCCACAGAACTTCAATTTTGTCCCGATTCAAAGTTCCCAGAAAACCTATTCAGAAACTGGGTTGAATTAAAGCTTGGTGCTTCTATACCTCCTTTGTTGCTGATGTCTTCAGCAAATCCTTCAAACTTAGTGCCTGAGAGGGTTAATTTGTTAAATAGCTAACCGATGAAGACAGCATGGGAAGGACAGCAAGCTAAGTGATGGAAGAGAAAACTGAAGACAGGGCTTTCAAAGCAGACACATTTAAAGGGAGCAGGCAGCTTACCAGGAGCTGTGCCCTGAGGGTGGAGTTACAGGGATGGATCCAGGAGGCTTAGCCAGGGAGGTGCAACCTACAGGCTGATGGTGATCCTGGAGGACCTGAACTCCCTGTGTGGCTGAGGAATGTCCAAATGTGAAAGGGAAGCCAGGGAAAACTGAACTGAAGACCCAGGCTTTTCAAAGAGGGGGGGTGGGGTGGAGAGAGGAAACCCTATCAACTATCAACGGAAATAGTGAATTTGGGTAAACATTCTCTCTCCAGGCAGTTAACGCCTTCTTCACCTTCCTGGTGTGAGCATAAGAGCCTCAGAAGTAAAAGGAACCCTGGCAATTGCTTTGGAATACCCAGGAGCTGACAGCAATGGACAGGCAAGTGAGAGAGGGCCCAGTTCTGCAGGACAGCAGAACGCTATTTACATGCATTTAAAGGGTGGAGAAAGGGCACTATTAGTAGGGAGCCACTGAGAATGGGTTGTGGGAGATGGAATTTTGAGCTCTCTGTTCAGAATGTTTATGCTTTCAAAGCCAGCACCACTAATGCTCCTCATAATGCTGTCTTCCTTCTCAGGAAACAGACAGCTGAGACCCTGTTGTCTCTGTCACCTGCTGAAACTGCCAACCTCAAGGAAGGAATCAATTTTTTTCGAAATAAGACTACTGGCAAAGAGTACATTTTATACAAGGAGAAAAACCACCTAAAGGCATGCAAGAACCTCTGCAAGCACCAAGGAGGCCTGTTCATAAAAGACATTGAGGATTTAGACGGAAGGTACCATGGGGCCTTTGCTCTCTTGCCGGGGACCCTGTTTGCAGTTAGATTTGAAACGTGCTCATACAGACATTTCAAACGACCAAATAAACAAATTGCTTCTAGAAAGCTTTCCTCTTGTTTCCTTGGGACAGTTTTCTAGCTTCAAAATTATATGTGTTGCTTAGGTTTCCTTTCTCTTCTCTCTTTCTAAGAACTCTAATTTAGCTTGACAATCCTCGCTGTTGTAACCTAGCTTCTAGAGTATGTGTACGTGTGTGGGAATGTTCGGGATGCAGGGGTGGGCACACACATATGCGGTATTGCATTCATCAAAGATTCAAGTCTTCCAGAAGTTTCGTTTTCCCAGGACACACACACACACACACACACACACACACACACCAGAGAGAGAGAGAGAGAGAGAGAGAGAGAGAGTGAGAGAGAGAGAGAGAGAGAGAGAGACAGACAGACACACAGAGACACAGAGACACAGAGACACAGAGAGACAGGCAGAGAGCCCTTCCCAACCGTGCTGGGAAGTAGATGGAATTCTTCCGTCAGCCGAGCCCTGCTTATCAGAGACAAAGTCCCAGCTGTCCCCATCCTAACATTAGTCGTCTGGTTATTCCTTCTAAGGACTCATGCTTTTGCCAGCCTCCATTCTCATCTCTCCTTGGGCAGCAGCAATGTTAGGACAGAGTTGTTTGGCTTTGGGAAACTATCTGGCACAGCTCAAGGGAATTCCGGGGCATCTGCTCTGTCAGCACCAGTTGCTTTCTGGATACGGAACCCTTTACAGCAGTGGTTCTCAACCTGTGGGTTGCGATTCCTCAGGACTGAACAACCCTTTCACACAGGGGTCTCCTGAGACATCAGAAAACATAGATATTTACATTACAATTCATAAGACTAGCAAAATTACAGTTATGAAGGAGCAAGGAAATAACTGTATGCTTGGGGGTCATCACAGCCTGAGGGACTGTTTTGAAGTGTCCCAGCATTAGGAAGGCTAAGAAGCACCGCTGTAGCAGACTCCTCTGCAGCCTGACGTGGTCTGAGGCCTGTGTCCTTGGGTGTTGGGCCTTTTCCTTCCTTTGTGTCATTGATCTTATTGCTCTAGTCATGTATGGATAGTTCGGTGCTAGAGGGCGCTGAGGAGTTGTCCAAGAATGTCCCCCTATCATTGTGTAGAGGACATTTGCACATCTACCCATAGATTTGTGGGGCTACACACGCAGTTTCACGGTTCATGTTATTATATGTGCATGCTATTACACATGCAGTTTCACAGTTCATGTTATTACATGTGCTATTAGACTTTCCAGTGCTAATCTGTCACACCTGTAGTCAAAAAGTGCAGGTAATATTCCAAGTGGGCTGTCTGTTGGCTTTCTTCTGAGGGAATCTCATCTCCACTGTCTCTAGTAGATTTTTGCAGAACTCAGGGTGGATAGAAGTTTTTTCTCTTGCTGATTGTCGTTGGGAAACTTTGAATTTCCTGTCTTTCAACACGTAGCAAACCACTTGGGGGGGGGTGTTAAAGCTAAGTGTGATCTCTCCTTCCTGCCTGCCTGCATTAGAAGCCCGCCTCACCACTCACCAGCTCAGGAATAACCTTGAGCAAGTTCATAACCTTTCTCGGCCTCGGTCTGCTCATCTGTAAAATGAAATGTTTGCTATTGAAGCATGAGGGCCTATGTTCAAATCCATAGTGTTTATGTAAAAAGTCAGGCACTCTGGCATGTGTCTGCAACCCCAACCTCTGGGGAGGCAGAGACAGGAGGATCCCTGGGGCTTCCTAGAAAGCCAGTCTAATGTAATCAATGAACTCCAAGTTCAATGAGAGACCCTGGGTCAAAAAGAGTAAGTGGAAATAACGAGGAAGGAGCGACTGCAAGTGATGGACACGTTATGAAAGACAATATGAAGCTAATTGTTTTTCAAGTTCTAATTCTGTCTTGGATGTTTTGGTTCGGGTAGTGGATAAATGCATAAAATATATTCAATTCTGAACGGGTAAGACTGAAGCTCACGTTCTATTCTGAATGTCAATTCTAACTATATGTAAGTTCATGAAGTTTCATAGACTTCCTGGAAAATTTTGGTATGTAATTTTTAAAAATTTATTTGCGAGATTTTTTAAAATAATAAAGCTTATTTTAAAAAAATTGAAAAAGGGAAAAAGTAAATGGAAAAAAATTGAGAAAGACTTCTGATAGTGACTTTTGGATTACACACTTGCATGTACGTGTTCACACACAAAAAGAATCATCCACTCACTCAAAACCTACAAAAAGTATTTAGAAGACCATCCCCTGTAGTATATCATGAATAGCCAATAAATGTTCACCATTGTTACTCTTCCTGTGGGACATGAACTTCCTGTGTTGTCTGTATATACAGATTATTGAGAAGAACTGATTTTTTCTGCATTCAGTTCCTCACCACAGATCAGCCATTCTTGCCTAAAGCAAAGCCATAAGGTGGTTGATCTTACTTTCACTTTGCCAAGAGCTTAGCCTTGTTTTGTGTGAATATTTGTGTGTGTGTGTGTGTGTGTGTGTGTGTGTGTGTGTGTGTTGTGTATGTGGGGAGGGGCAGATGTTGATGGAGAGTTTCTTCCTTAGTCACACTACATGTGATTTTTTGAGTCTCTCATTGAACTTGGAACTCACCAATTAAGCTATATCAGGCTAGGAAGCCCCAGGGATCTTCCTGTCTCCACATTCCCAGTGCTGGTTATAGGTGCACGCTGTCACTCTTAGCTTTTTGCAGCAGTGCAGAGGTTTAGACTCAAGTTCTCCTGCTTGTGTGCAAGCCCTTCACCCACTGAGCCATTCCCTAGTCCATATACCTGTTCTCTTTGCTACCTTCACAGGGAAGCCAGGCACGCTTCACTTTATTCTTTGTGGAGCTCATTGCTCAGTAGCTAAACTGTATGCCTTTGATGGCTCCCATTTGCCTGACCTTCTATTCTTCTACTTGAGCCCTCTGTGTAGTTACCAATCCCTGAGAGACATCTTCTCCAGGGTACACTCAAGCATAGTCCATTCCTACCTGCCATTCAGTCAGTTTTCTTCCTGACACATAACCAAGAGCAACATATCTCAGGGGCTATACATTTCATGTCCTTAAATTGAACATGCTCACAACTTCTGTGTGTGGAGTGGAGTCCTCCTCATGCCCACCTGTTCACTTCTGTCTCTCTCTTGTCCCCTCCTAGCCCTTCCTCACCTCTTCCTTTCTTCTGACCCTGCATCTTCTCTTGTCCCACTCCTGCCTCCTCCCATCAAGCTGCCACCCAACTACACTGAGCTCTGACAGCTTTCTCTCTTGGGTCCTAGTGTGCTTTACAGTTCCATTTGGAATGAATGTCTCATCCTAAGTTTTAGAGGTTGCTGTTCACTTATTCCTGAGAAAGAAAGGGCCACAAAGTAATCCTTCATAAATTGAACTACAGACTGTGCTTTCTAACTGACCAGTAATGAACATTTAAAAATTCTGGATATAATGAAGCTTAGAAATGTCACCATGACATGCTTACAAGTTTAAATAGATGTTTTTGATTTCTTCCTCAAATGATGTTTCTGGCAGGAGACATCCCTTGGTTAAAAAATTCCTTGCTTCTTGAATGTCAGCAGGAACTTATGAGCAACCCCAAGTCTGACAAGCTTTATTTTCTGGGTAGACGAAAGGACACTGAATATGGTAGCTCATGCTTGGGATTCCAGTGCTTGGGAGACGGAGGCAGGGTTTTTTTTTGTTTGTTTGTTTGTTTTTGTTTATTTGGGACCAGTTTGGGCTACAGAGTAAAATTCTGACTGAAAAACAAAACAAAAAAAACAAAAAATAAGACTGAGCTAGGCAGAGTGAACCACGCAATGGTGGAGTACATGTGTAATCAAAGCATTCAGGAGGAGGCAGAGGGATTAGGAGTTTATGGTCATCCTCAGCTACATAGTAAGGTCAAGGCTGGCTTGGTCTACATGAGATCCTGTCTCAAGAAAGTTGAAGGGAGAAAGCAAGAAGAAAGGTAAGAAAGAAGGGAGTTGGTTCAAGCAAATAGCAAAAATTGCACAGCACCTCCTCTAAGAAGTCTCCTGCTTGCTCTAGTCTAAGTCTTATTCTGAAATGGAATTAAATTAGTAAATAGAAATGTAGAACACTCACCCAAATAATGACTGATAAAACCAAATTTTAGTGTATGTTGTAAATGTTACGAGAGATATGCATTCAAGAATATATTCACTTTTAGCCAGATGTGGTCACACACACCTTTAATCCCAACACTTGGGAGACAGAGGAAAGTGGATCTCTATGAGTTCAAAGCCAGCCTGGTCTACAAAGAGAGTTCCAGGACAGCCATAGGTATACAAAGAGGCCCTATCTTGAAAAATCAAAGGAAGAAAAGAAGAAAAAAATATACTTACTCTGCCTGAAATTCATGTTTATCTGAGTATATCATAACTGATCCAGTAATCATGCTCTCAAACCTTAAACTCTAGGGAAACATTTTTTGGGATTTGAAACTAGTTGAACACTAGAGCTGAAGGGTTGCAAGTGGATAAGTCACACATATGTATGAGCACATTCTCACTGAACCTCACTTTGCTGTTATGGGAAGGGCCTTTTGAGCAGTTTTGGACAAGGGCTGTCTTCAGGAGCGTGGGCTCCTATCATCACTTTGCTTCTCTGGGTACAGTCATCGCTTTACCCCTGGCCAGCCTTCACTTTTTCCCCTAGAGCCTGTGTATGACTAACCTCATTCCAGACTGACTATCCCTCTGAGCACTGGCTCAGGAGACGACCGTTCTGTTGTCTCTAACACACAACATTGCATGACACAGACTTGATCATCACATTTAAAAACGTTGTTTGATGATTAGCCAGCATTTCCTTGGCTCCCCTAGTATCATCTGTTCATAGATTTTCTTTCATTTATTTTGCGTTCCATCAATTGCTTTGACTTCCCTCTCATGAGTTGCCATCCTGCTTCATCAGCACTAACTGTCTTTTTCACTATGTCATACAGCTGACTATCATCCCCCTCACACTCCCTCAGGTCCGTTAAATGTACAAAGCACAACTGGAAGTTAGATGTGAGCACCATGAAGTACATCAACCCTCCAGGGAGCTTCTGTCAGGACGAGCTGGGTAAACACTTATCAATACTTCCTGCTAGGGTGGGTCGGGGAGGGGAGACTTTGGCAGCTTCCAATCTCCAAGTGTTGGATCTGTTCTGATTTTAAACCATTCGACCTACCTGATTTATTGATAGTTTTTGTGAGACAAGGCCGTGCTTTCTCGTGTTTATTGATCATTTGCTTTTCATCTTTGGAGACCCTGCCCGCTCCTTTCACTAGCTCGTTTATTGATTGGGTACTTGATTTCTCATTGTTTAGCTTTTCTAGGTATGACTTTTCTGCCAGATGTATAGTAAACAAATCTATTCTCCTAGTCTGTGGCCATTCTTCACCAAATTGCTCCATTTGCTGGGCAGAAGCTTGCTAATGTCATGAAGTCCTACCTGTCGATTGTTGGTGCCATTTCCTGATAGAACTGGAGTCCTATTCAGAAACTTCATACCCATGGCCATCCACATTTTGGACTCTCTCACCTACTCTTTCCCCTAGAAGTTCCACTGTTTTAGATCCTGTATTAAGGTATTTGATCCTTTTGGGTTAATTTTCAATAGAGTAAAAGATGGCAATCTGATTTCATTCTTGGCAAGTGGGTATCTCGTTTTACCAGCACCATTTGTTGAAGCTATTTTCTTTTCACTAATGTATATTTTTGGGATCTTTGTACCATCCTGCTTTTTTCTAATCTTGGCTCAGTGGAAAATTTGTACTTTGATTAAATTCATTCTTAAGTATTTTATTCTTTTTGACCATCCCATAAACATAATTTTAAGATTGCTTATTGCTATGTATAGAAATATTGATTTCATATTGATCACCTATCTGATTTGCATGTCTTTTACTCCATTTTCTTGCATAATTGTTTTTAATCAGAAGCCTCCAGGCAGAAGTGGCAAGAGAAGAGCCTCCTGGTTCTGTTTCTGCTCTCACAGTGAAAGCAGCTGTGTGTTTGTCAACTGTCCTTTTTCAGGTTGAGGAACTGCTTTGCTACTCTCTGTCTCCTAACAGTATCTTCTAACTCATAAAAGGATGCTGCATTTTGTCAAATATCTTTTCTGTAACCGTTAAGATGCTCATGTATTTCCTCCTTTCCTTCTGCCAATATGATGTAGCCCGTTGAGTTTTGAATATTGAATTATCATTGCATTTTTCAAATATTGAACCAGTCTGGCAATCGAGCTCACTTGGGCATAAGTGATTCTGTTTCAGACCAACTAGGTCAGTAGTAATACCTTGATACCAAAACCAGACAAACATACTGCAAGAGAAGAAAACTAAAGCTGTTGTTGGGAATTATTTACTTACTTTTCTTATTGTTGTGACCAAATTCCTGGGAAGGAGCAATTTAAGAGAGGAGAGGTTTCTTTTGGCTCATGATTGGAATGGACATGTGACACATCTTGGTGTATTCTAAGCTTTCCTATGCTGGCATTCCTCTGCATGGCAGCATCCCTCTGCATGACGTCACTCATGCTGCCTGCGCAGGATTCCTCTGCAAGACGTCACTCATCATGCTGCCTGCCTGTGGCTTATTTCTTGTATCTGTCAGTCATCTCATCTCTCAAGTCTAATGTGAGTGACTTGAAACTACTTCCTAGTTATACGTCTTGGCATTTGTCATCAGGTTAGGAGTTCCTTCTCGTACATTCTCTCAGCCACTTGACCTTCTCTCTTTCACTGGTTTCATTACACAGCAGTTGTGTGGAGATGGATGTGTCAAACATGCCTGAGATCCCCTGAGTTACTTTAGTGTAGCATGAATAAGGGTATGAACATCATCAGTAGCCATTGTTTTGGTAGGTGCTGTGCAATCAATGAGTATTCTCTTCTGTTGTGAGTGATTTTGAACCTCTTTGCTTGTACTATATGTTTCTCTTTCAGTGTATTTCCGAAAAGATCATTTTACCACTTGCTCAGATTTATCTCCCTTTGGTTCTAGTTGTCGAAATGGATGGAAACGATGGGCTTTTCCTTATAGAATTGAATCCTCCTAACCCTTGGGACTCTGATCCCAGGACTCCTGAAGAGTTGGCTTTTGGGGAAGTACAGGTAAGGACATATTAAAATTATAATATTCCTAACAACAAAATAAAACTAAGATCTCCTTCATAGATATATTTGCATATCTTCATACCTATATTTACTTACATAGAAAGAAATTATATATGTACACACATGTAACCTGCAAAAATTATGTTTTAGAGGAGGTTTCAATGAAGAGATATGTAAAACAGTTGGGAAAAGTTCAGGAACTACCCTTAGTATCTGAACATTTTTGGATAAGATGGTATATCATCAGTGCTTTGATGATAAAATATTTGAGGCTAAGACTTTATGAAGGAAAGAGGCTAATTTAAAGCATAGTTTGAGAGCTTCAAAAGCATGTTGTTTGCATGTGCCCAGATCTGGTGATGGATGGACTAACAATGGCAAGAGTGTGCATGAAAGTGGCATGTCATACATGCAGAACAATGACTGGAGGGACAGGCCAGTCCCTTCATGAAACTCATTCTTGAGGGAACTAGCAGCTCCTGAGATCCTGTGATGCTGCAAGAACTACGTTGATCTCTTCTAAAATTTCTGCCCCTAATGAATTAATTACCTCACACCAGGCTCTACCTTTTAAAGATCCCATGCACTCTCAGCATCCCCACCCTGGCTACCAAGTTGCAAGCACAGGACCTTTGGGGAATAATCTATATTCCCATTGTGACAGATAACAAGCTGTGCATTTTTGCACCTCATCCTGAGTCTTGAATGAATTTTCTATCTTCAGGACATGTTCCTCTAAAGAAAATATTTCAGAAGTTTGGGGAAGATAAATACACAAAGATATATATATATATATATATATATATATATATATATATATTCATATTCTGTAGCTTCAGGAAGCTGTGTGCATTTGGACAACTATTTTGTTTGTTTTGTTTTGCTTTGCTTTGTTTGAACAAATGAGACTGCACTCAGGAATAATAAAAAAGAATTTGATTCCTGACGGTTCCTTGTGTCATAGCTAACTCTTATCTTATCTTTTCTCCTTGTGTTCTTTGTCTGTGGGTGTGCCAGGCAGAGGAAAGCAAGAGGGTGAGGAATGAGTTTAGAATTCCCCTATCTGTAGGTGTGCCAGGCAGGGGGAAGCAAGAGGGTGAGGAATGAATTTAGAATCCCCTACCTGTGTCTGTCTGGAAGTCATTGTTGATACCCATTCTTGGAGGCCCTTGGTACCTGCATAGGTAGTAAGAAGGTAATGTAGTGCAGAAAACCATACAGTTCAGTTCGCATGATTTCACTCCAGTCTGCAGTTGTTCCAACCCACCAAACTAATCAGGAGTCATGTAATCAACATGCCTTGATGCCACACTGTCGTGTTATGTTCCTTGATGCTAGTCCTAATGTTTCTAACTGCTTTACCTTGGAAACTGTGCTGCTTAGATTGGCCACACAATACCTAAACATAGAGGATCTGGTTTAAAGAGAGTAAAATCAGGTGCATCCGTTGGTTTGACACCAGGCCCTGTTCTGGCAGTCTGTGGAGGGGGCTGTGCTCTGTCAGTGCATTCCTGCAGTTGGAACTGAGCAGAGTTGACCTGACCGTGTCAGAGAAACATCCTGAGCCATCACTCCATTGTGGTTGACCAGTAACCCGATCATAACAGTAATCTCACTCTCTTCTAACAGATAACATATCTCACTCATGCCTGCATGGACCTCAAGTTGGGAGACAAGCGGATGGTGTTTGACCCTTGGTTAATTGGCCCTGCTTTTGCCCGAGGATGGTGGTTGCTACATGAGCCTCCATCTGATTGGCTGGAGAGGCTGTGCAAAGCAGACCTCATTTACATCAGTCACATGCACTCAGACCACCTGAGGTAACGAAGCCAAGCCAAGCCCAACTCCTAAGATAACCAGTGGCTGAACTACAGGCATCAATGGAATCTTGATGGTTGCTGCTTTGTTTCTTAGACAGGCTCTTAAGAAGTCCAGGCTGGCCTTGAACTCACTATGTAGCTGAGGATGCCCTTGAACTCCTGATCCTTATACTTCTACTTCCAAATGCTGGGATTATAGACATGTTCCACTATGCCTGGCTTATGAAAGGTTTTTAGATTCTTCTACAATCACTGCCCACTCTGACTTGCCCCATTTGGACTGTGAAAAAGAAGAGAAATAAAAGTACATTTTTGAACATGTACTACAATTTTAATTTTAAAAGTGCTCCACAGTTTATACCAACAGGAATGATGAAGGAGCCTTTATGGAAAGGAGGGTGGTTGATAACTCGCAGACTTCTGCTTTGTCCTAGTTGGAACATGAAAAGGCATAAAGCCCATCAGACTGGCCTTTTAGTTCCAAATTTGTAGTACAAACCAAGATATATATATATTTGTAAAGGGTCAGTGTTCTCAGCATTTGAAGATCTGAGGCAGGAGGATCAGGGAACTCAATGCCAGTGTAGGCTACATAGCAAAACTGTCTCAAAAATGACAAACAGCTACTGTTTTTATATACATATATAAAGGACTACTTGAATTCTTTGGGCTTTGTAAGCCATAGAACACATACTGAACCTCGCTCAACATTGCCATTGAGACAGGAGAGCCACAGGGAGTCACAAATGAGAGCAGGAACTAATAAAAAATGTTGGTGATAGACATAATTTCTATGAGTCATGGAAGATTATTGCCTTTATCTCACATTATCTTGTAATAATTACATAAAAGCAGGGAGAAGTCTGGCTCACGAACTGGTGTGCCTAGTCCTGGTCTGTTGCTTGATGAAACAGAGCCTTGCTATGTATCCAGGCTGGTTTCGGTCTTTCTGTCTCAGTCTCCCAGGTGCTAGGATTACCATGCTTCATTGCTGTGACCTGCTTTAGAACATCTTCACAGTGTTCTTAAATGCCCAGTCTCAAGTTAGCCTAGCCATCACGCCTGTGAATCAGGAATGGTGCTAGTAACCCAAAGGACGCCTCTGGAATCCCGGCAACCAGAAGGGAGGATGAAAACAGAGCCTCCAATTCAGAAGTCACACTAAACAACAACAACAACAAATTCTTCTTTTTTAATGAATGAATTATCAGAAGAAGGCAGGTCATATTTTCACTCTGTGTTTAATTATGGGTTGTGTCAGTTTTTACGCTGTTTGTATGCTTTTGGTCCCTTTTTCTTAGTCACTAATATTAAACATTGTAATGTCCACAATATTTCTCAAGTACCTTAACTTTTTCATCTGCGATCCTCTACGATAAACTGTATGCTGGATGTACTTTGCTAGAATGCCCCTGTTAAGGATAAAATGTCCGTTGTTGGTTGGATGACTCCTAAAGGATGCAGAACTAGAGGAAATGACTATATAAATGCATACAGTTTAAAGGGAAATGGCTTAAATTTTGAATGAACTGAATTAGTAATCAACATATTGCTTACAACTCACTTCTTAACTGTCTAACCCCAGATACCGCAGTATTACAAAACTTTGCTTGTCTGTTGCAATACTCTTACCCTCAATTAGTTTCTAGAACTACACTTGTCTAATCTGAGGCTTGTGGAAGTCCCGGGTGCATGTTTTGTAATAACCGCCATGTGTGCTGATGATTTTGTATAGCTTGTTATATTAAGTAAGAAAGTCAGTGGTATGTAAATGATGCATTACACATCGTTTACAATTGCCCGAGTCTTAAAGAGAGGCATTCTATTAGACAGTACTGAATTCGGGGTAGGACAGGGAGAAGAACTTTAAATGGCATTTGGTCAAGGTGATCTTTTGCCACCAATGGGTGATAAGGACACTGTACTTAACATATAACAGCTTTGCCTCAGGAGGCCCTGACACTGGCTCTCAACTGGCCCATCTGGCCAATGGCAAAAGCTGGTGAGTTTTCCTCTTTCACTCCATCTCTGTGGTAAAACCCTTCTCATTTTGATTATTTTCTGGTCAATTAATAACCATGGAGGCCCTTTACCCCAATCCTACCATCTGACCTTTACTTTCTAAATAAAACTTCCCAGAACTATTTAAAAAAAAAAAAGAGGGAGAAAACAGTGTGGTGTAGCAAATAGTGTTCAAAGAAATGTGATTTTATAATGCCAGTTAGTATTGTTACCTTATATTAGCAGATGAGGGTAAGAAAACCACTGCATTTAGTTACTTTTCTGCTGTTTTAATAAAACACTGTGACCAAGGCAACTTATAGAAGAAACAATTTATCTGGACTAACAGTTCCAGAGCATTAGAGTTCATGTTGGGTGGGATGAAGGGATGGCTGTTGTGATGGCTAGAACAACAACATATTAAACCAGGAGCATGAAGCAGAGAGAACGCCCTAGTGACATCCTTCCTCTGAGGCCACACCTCCTAAGCCCACCTCGCGCCAACTAGGAACCAATATATTCAAATGGTCAAGACTATGGGGATATGCTCTTTCATACTGCCACAGCTATAAGTAGTAAATTAACCCTTTGGGGCTAATATTTCTCCTAATCTTCGTTATAGTACGAGATTTGTTTTCTGAACTCAGAGATTAAAGGTAAGTCAAAAGAATCCTGGAACTTTTAAAATTTTTGCTCAGGGAAGAAAACCTGCTTTCTCCCCAACTCATAGGTTCTGCTTATTTGGGAAGTTCTTCACAGTGTGGGAATGTTATATTAGTGCAGGCGATGTATGCTGACATACGTATTGTGCTTATGGTAATGTATTTCATGTCATATGATAGCCTGCTTCTTTTATGTATTTGTCTTTAGGTTACAGTCATGTGGTACCATGCCCAGATACTAGTCTGATTCTAAAACAGAAACTATCTTCTAATGGAAGCAGTGCTAAGTTTGGTCAGAAAAACCAAAGCTTCAATACCAGTTTATCATTTGTATTGCATCACATGTATGACTATGTTTTCTTATCTATAAAAATGAAATCCTCAGAGCATATAAAAAGAATCAAATGATCACTGGGCTGAGTCAGGAGGATCTTTAGGGACTCTGGGTCAGATTGGGCTACACAATGAGACCCTATCTCAACCAAAGCAAAACAAAACACCCGCCACAAAACAAAACAAAAAGCAACAATAACATCAGCAACAACAAAAACACAGCAGAAAAGAATCAAAATATCTGGAAACACCTGTGATAGAATGGGTATATAGCTGTTTGTTCACCTCTCTACCATACCCTACAGTGCTACATAAAAATCCTATGTTATGAATGCTCAATAGAAATGAAAATTACTTTCATGTATATCAGCAGTTGAAAAGACTTGGATAACTAGTTATACAGAGTTGAGATTACTAGAATGTTTATCATCTCCGTTAAATTTTCCTGTATGGCACCTCTAGTAACGAGTACTCCAAAGGATGAACAATATCCCGCACCCCAGCCAGCCTCACCACTCAAAGCAATGCTGGTGTAGAACATTGGACTCACACACTTGGCTGATATCCATTCCAAGGTTTGTGGTATGGTCTAGCCGTGAAGTGGCGTCTCCTGAGATGTTGCCATTAGTATGAGCAGGAACCCATCCCTGAGCTCTCACGAAAAGATAATTCCCAACTCCTTCCTTTTCAGTCAACATGTTGTCCTCTTGTTAGTGAATCCCTAAAAACAACAACAACAACAACAAAAAAAAAAACAAAAAAAAACCTTTCACTGTTTTCCATCCCTCTGATCTAGTTACCCCACTCTGAAGCAGCTTTCCCAGAGACGACCAGACATTCCCATATATGTTGGTGACACGGAAAGGCCTGTGTTTTGGAATCTGGACCAGAGCGGTGTTCAGCTAACTAACATCAATGTGGTACCATTTGGAGTGTGGCAACAGGTTAGAGATATGTTTTATTATGCTTTCTGAGGTGACATTTAAAAGTATAGAAAGTGGCCTATTTGTCTATACACAGGGCATAGTAAAGAAAACATGTATTTAAGCTTCAAATTTGGACATTAATTGCCTTTGTTAAAAGATTTCCTTTCCATTTAGCAAATATAAAACAGGCTAATAAACCCAGTTCCAGATAAAGTGGGTTTTTTTTTCTTTAAATTTTAGTCTGATTTGCCAGTCTTTCTCAAAATGATGACCTTCTCAAATATTAAATTAAGACCAAACTGACTTACATAATTGTTTTATTGTTGGATCGCAGGTAGACAAAAATCTCCGATTCATGATCTTGATGGATGGCGTTCATCCTGAAATGGACACATGCATTATCGTAGAGTACAAAGGTACTTTCCTTCCTCGTAAGCAATGAGTGGTGAGCCACACCATGGTCAGGAAAGAGGATAACTGCTGTCTGACCTTGGCCTCATCTTCTGTTCTTCCATTTAAGAGAAGACAGTATACTATGCTCTTACCTTAGGAAAATGAACCCTTAGATCTTTCTTTTTCAAATGAAAATTTGTCAGTATTTAGGAGTCTATCATGATAGCTACATAGCTTTTAGTACAAGGGAACCAATATTTATATTGTTTCCATGCTATCATTAATTTATTGTTGAATAAATGTCGTGAGTACCTTTCATCATATTGTTAAGTATCTTGGTAAAAGCAGGAAGAGGAATATAGGGGCCATCTATGCTAAACAGTTCAGGCCAGCCTGGGCTCTATGAGACCCTGCCTCAAAGAGCAAAGCAAGCAGAGCAGAGAAAAACAAAACAAAATGAAAGGCCACTATCACTGGAAAATGTCATCATGAGTGAGGTACGGCCTTAGTTATCCAGTAATCGTACATAGACTTTTCCAGAGATAGGGGCATCTGTGTTGACCTGTCTCTGCAGTTCAGCATCTGGAGACAGGGAATATTCTGTGACCCACAGTGAAACTAGGATGATAATGATCCATGAGGTACCCAGAACCCATCCAGCCAGAGGGATGAACTGCTTCACTTGGAAATCAGAATATTGACAGCTTCCTCTTTGTGGGTTTTTGTGTTTGTCTGCTTAGTTTGTTTGGGTTTGGGGGACATACCAATTCTTCTATAATGAACTGAGTCAGATTATATAGACTGCACTGGTCAACCTTGTTGTCTTGGTCATTCAAGCTGGAGGGTTTGAGATTTCATGTTATTTCCCCACAGGTCATAAAATACTCAACACAGTGGATTGCACCAGACCCAATGGGGGAAGGCTGCCTGAGAAAGCTGCTCTAATGATGAGTGATTTTGCTGGAGGAGCATCAGGCTTTCCAATGACTTTCAGCGGTGGAAAATTTACTGGTAATAATTTATACCTGAGTGATACTGAGCATCAGGCATGGTGCTTGGATGGGTGCTGTGAGAATAAGGACAGAGATAATTGACGCATGGTTCCTGTTCAGAGGTGTGTGCTGTCCATTAGAAAGCCAGACAGGAACTGCAGACAGTACACACTAAGGTTTCTGGTTTAGAATGTGGTGGTAGAGCATACAGGGAACACTGAGATGAAGGAGTTCCTGGGGGAGGTAGAATCTAGGGGCAGCTAAGAAAGACAGTCACGGAGAATTATGGTGTGGAACATAGGGAGGGACAAGGAAAGGATGGAGTGGGTAGCTCTGGCTTCAGTGTTCTTAGAATGAAGTCAAGAATATAGTTCATGGGAGTCTGTGTGGATGCTTCTTACTGGTCCTGTGGAGTGCCAATGGATGGCACAGCCAGAACAGGAGATTCTACGGTGTAGGTTCCCACCCTGGAGCACTTTTACTCTGGATCCAAGGGTAGTGGTGGGATTTTAATGAGGAAAGTGTATGTATGAGATAGCTTATTCAGTTTTGTAGCCTTGACACAATGCTTACAATGTCTGGTAAGTGAGCCTTGTGGAACAATATGGCTCAAATGCCCCACCCATAGAATGAAGCTAGCTAGCACTCTCGGCTAGCTTATTGCTTCCTTCTATGCATTTGTATCCATTGTCTCCCACGATACAAAGCCACCAAAGAAAGAGGGAACATTTTTTCCATAAAAGTTAAAATATAGTTAAAGGCAAATACAGGAGAGGCAAAACATAGTTATGGAAGGTCAACTAGCATAATCCTATGTGTTTGTGTGTAATACAAATACGTGCATATGTATTTTTAAAGGTCTATGAAGGTATGTAAAGGTATTTTAAAGGTAAGTAAAAGATGTTGATAGTGATTATGTCAAGTTGTGTGTAATTTTTATTTTTTCTATGACCTTATCTCTACCAGATTTCAATTTCAAGGGCTATAGAACCATCTCTCTGACCCTGTGTGCTCCAGCTCTAGGTCCTGTTTAATCCTAAACTTCTCTGACCAATTGCCTCCCAATGTGCTTAGCTGTCCCCCTTTGCTGCCTGCTAGTGTCCTAAGGCTAGCATTCCTGGTCTACCCTGGCCCAGCTTGTTACATTCACTATTTTCATTCTCTGGGATCTTCTTACTGCTAAACTCCACATGACAAGCAGTTTAACATGTGTCTCAATTCAACTACTGTCTGGTCCCCGACTGCTCTGTCTAAGGTGACCATGCCACCTCAGCAAGACATTCCCAGACTGCCCTGTCTAAGGGTGACCAGGCCACCCCACCTCAGCAGACACTCCCTGCCCTACTGCCCTGCTGTACTATTCCCACTACTTTATATAATTATTTTATTTCCCTTTTTAAGACTGGCTTCTCACTAAGTGGTGGTGGCACACGCCTCTAATGGCAGCACTCAGGAGGCAGAGGCAGGTGGTTCTCTGTGAATTCAAGGCCAGCCTGGTCTACAAATAGAGTTCCAGGACAGCCAGTACTATTACACAGAGAGACCCTGTATCAAAACAACAATAAAAACCTGGCTTCTCTGAGTAGGACCAAGATTCCTTGGGAACACTTCTCATTTCTTGTTCGTAAGATTTGCAGTCTTATTTAGCACTGCATGCTTAGTTCCCCAGAGAACCTTCAGAGCATAAAAGGTGTGCAATAAACACTGTGAGGGAGAGAGAGAAAGAAAAAGAGAGGGAAACTTTGTGAGGTTTCTATAATGAGTCGGTTGACAGGAGGGGAGAGAAGTTAGGTCACTTACTCAATTCTGTAAGTGGTAGGCTGGGCTTTGATTCTAAGTATGACTAACTACCATGCCAGTGGTCTTAATCACTATGAGTTGTCAGGTTACAAAAGTAGATTTCAGTTTTCTGATGTACCAGGGTAATAGCCACGTACACACTAGTAAAAGGTTAGTGACTGTAGGAGTTGCAGTGTACATAGGATGGGCTTGTCTACAAAATAGGGCTATTCGTGCTGACCCCTATATTAAACTAGAGTCTCCAATTTAACAAGCAAGAAGCAAGTCTGGGACCTATGGCTAGTCTCTTGGTAAATAATTAAAATTTGATAAACCAATCTGATTTAGCATCTCCATCAGTATCATAGGGATTAATTCTACTTCTTTCTTAGTTATCCCTCCATTTTTTCCTCCTGAGCTAGTCCCTGTCCAGTAGAGAAAGATTTATTAAAAATTTCCATTTGTGATCCTTTGGTACCAGAGAAATTTTTATGCAACCCTGAGTGTATAAGCATATAAAACTCAGTATACAAATCAAGTATTTGCTAATAATAAATTATAAACAAATTTTAAAACAATTCTTTGCTATATATAATTTAGTATTTATTATAGACAGAAGCAAATTTTTATGATTCAAAATAGATATACTTATTTATATAAAGAATTAATCTTGGTTGAATATTTGTACAGTAGGATGTAGGGTTTCTCCAACAGTTTTCAAAGTTGATTTATATTTTTATTTTATAATTAATTCTTAGAGTTACATTCACATAAATATCTATTACCATACGAGAGATACCATAGAGAGATGGTTCTATAGCCCTTGAAATTGAAATCTGGTAGAGATAAGGTCATAGAAAAAATAAAAATTACACACAACTTGATATAATCACTATCAACATCTTTTACTTACCTTTAAAATAAATACCTTTACATACCTTCATAGACCTTTAAAAATACATATGCATGTATTTGTATTACACACAAACACATAGAATTATGTTTAGGGCCATTTAATAAGTTTTTGGAAATTCTGTCCTGATCCCAAGTCAAAATTCATTGAGCTATTAAATTTTGTGAAACTCAAGTCAACAACTCAAACAGCAATTTTAAAAATCAAACACCCTAGCACCATACAATTCAAAGACATACTAATTTCATACATTCTTATGGAGGATGCTAAGAAAATATGAAAAGTCTTTGTTCTCCACAACAAACCATTCTGTTTCTATAAGAGCAGAAGAGATGGTGTGTACAGTAAAAACATGTAGTTCACAGCATACAGTAGTTTTGAATGTGAGCCAAGAGCATGCATTATTGATTGTGTTGTGTTGTATGATGACATATCCAATGCAAAGCTCAGAACCAAGGCTTCAGTGACATTAGATGATGAGCAGTGTTGTCACAAGGCACAACACAGGTGAGCAGTACCATTATGTGTATTACTATTATTATTATTATTACTATTATTAAGTTTTGACTTCTCAGAAAACTTATAGCTATTGATTTTCTTGTGACCTCCACATTTAGCTACCTATCCCCATATTGGGTTACAACCCAGTTTAAGAAGCTGGGAACTGCCAGGCATTGGTGGTGCACGCCTTTAATCCCAGCACTTGGGAGGCAGAGGCAGGCGGATCTCTGTGAGTTCAAGGCCAGTCTGGTCTCCAGAGCGAGTGCCAGGATAGGCTCCAAAGCCTGTCTCGAAAAAAAAAAAAAGAAGAAGAAGAAGAAGCAAGAAGCTAGGAACTAGTGCATTTGTTTTCAAAGACTTCTGAACGGAGACCACTAACCCCAAACATGTCGTTTCAGAGGAATGGAAGGCCCAGTTCATTAAGGCGGAAAGAAGAAAGCTTCTGAATTACAAAGCTCAGCTCGTGAAGGACCTCCAGCCTCGAATCTACTGTCCCTTTGCTGGGTATTTTGTGGAATCTCATCCATCTGACAAGTAGGGTTCTGCACTTCATTCAATATTTTCCACTTAAGTCCCTGTCTGTCAGGATGAGTGACTGCTATGAGTACATTGTGTAATGAGAAAAAGATTGTGAGTATCCAAAGTGTGTGTGTGTGTGTGTGTGTGTGTGTGTGTGTGTGTGTGTGTGTGTGTGTGTGTGGGGGGGTGGGGGATGCATATGTGTGAGGAAGTGGAGGCCTGAGAAAAACCTTGGTCATCTGGTCCTTGGGTGAGGTCCACTTTTTTTCTGAGACAAGGCCTCTCACTAGCCTAGAACTTGAGCCAGTGAGCACCAGGGTTCTGCATGTCTCTGTCTCCCCAGCACTGGGACTACAAGTGTGTAACACTGAGTCTGACTTTTATCATGAACTCTGAGGATCAGACTTGGGGCCTCACACTTGCAAGGCAAGCTCTTTACTCACTATTTCTCCATCCCAATAGTCCACAACTTTCTAACTAGTGGCCGACAAACGGATGAATCAAAGCCACCAGAGTTAGTGCAGATGGGCACGGAAAGACCTCCCAGGAAGGCAGGAGGCAGCCAACAGTCATTAAGCACGTGGCAGGAAGTGAATTTGGGGCCTTTTAACTAACTCATCGAAATAATTCCCCCAGCGAGACTGTGAGGAAGGCTTTGTACATTTGCTAGATAAGGGGAATGTGAAACCAAGAAAGACAAAGAGCCACTCTGTGGGAGGAGGAGCTGAGAAGCAAACCCTGGTTTGTCGATTTTCTCCACCGCATCTCAGTGGAGAGAAAAGAAAGAGTTAAAGAGAATCTCTTGCTCCCTGGGTAAGTCACAGGAGACGAGACCAGACTAGACTGTTTATAGTCCAAGCTCTCCAAGACAAACTGCAGCAGTGTACTTTACATTTTACTCTCTGCATCCCAACACATGAAAATGCTCAATACGAAGCCCCGAGGGAAAGAACCTGTATTACATATTACTCACCTGGGGTTACAACCGAAGCAAAATAAAATAAAGGGTGCCACAAACTAGCTGTCAAAATAAAATAAAATAAAGGGTGCCACAAACTAGCTGGCAAAATAAAATAAAATAAAATAAAATAAAGGGTGCCACAAACTAGCTGGCATTCAGAGCAACAGAAATCTGTTCCTCCCAGCTCCAGAAGCCAAGAATTCAAAGCTAGTTGCTATGGAAGGTCTGTTCTAGATCTTTCTTCCTGCTTCTGCTTGTCTAGAGGTCTCTTCACATGCCACTCACTCTGTGTCCATACTTTTCTATTTTATGATGACGTGAGTCTCACCTTTACGGCCTCGTTTTAGACGGATTATCTCTATAAAGACATCTGCTCCAAACAAAAGTCACACTGTGGAACTCAGGTTTAGGCCTCTGATACATCTTTTCTGAGGGAGACCTGTGTGATATTCCTTTGATATCCATGTTCATGTCACTGGGTTGATACAGAATGAGCCAACTTACTTCTAGGCAGACAGGTTTAGAAACCAATGTGCTTTTGTTTCAAAATCAAATGAACTCTGAAGAATCAATTGTGTCACTGTATATTTGAACATTACACAAAGATAACTTTTTCATACTTGATTTTGTTATTGGAAAACCTTCAAGTATGGCTTGATCAGCAAGCATCTGAATCTAAATTTGAACCATAAGTTTTATGAAGCCTAGAGATAGATCCTGATGAAAATTGCTATCTGAATTGATATAACCTAAATATACAAAATATGTGAAATACATAAAACAGTATATACTCATCCACCAATTTTTTTAATTTAAAAAATTGAGTGTCTGGGGAGCTGGCTCAGTTGATTAAGTGCTTGCTATACATTCTTAGAGCCTGAGTTTGGCTTCCTAGAACCCATTTAAAAAATGAGGTGCAGCAGTGCATGCTTGTAATTCCAGGACTAGAGAGGTGGAGACAGGAGGATGTATCTCCCCCACCACACCCCCAGCTCAGTGGCCAATCAGTGTAGAAGAATCATCAAAAGACAGTATCTTAAAAGGTAAGAAGGAGAACTGTTGCAGAAGACACCCAATATTGACTTCTGGCCTCTACACACCGTACACATTTGTACCACCCCCCCACATGCACACATATTACACATACAAAAAGTGATATATGTATTTATCATATATCAGTGTTATAGGTGTTTATATACAGTGGAATAGCAAAACTTAGATAATCATATAGTGTATCATGTTCTTATCATTTCATGGCAAGGACACTTGATATTTTAGTAGAGACTGTGGTAAAGTCAAATCCAAGCACTTCTAAGTGCTTGGTCATTCTTGATAATGAAACCATGATAGGTGCTAAAGTGTTTTAGATACCTGTAACTTATTTCTATAAACGTGAAAATTTTGATTTTAGTAGAATTGCATTCACAACTGTTTTAGTTACTTTTTTATTGCTGTGAAAAAAAAAAAAACACCATGACCAAGGCAATTTATAAAACAAAGCATTTAATTGAGCTTATGGTTTCAGAGAGTTAGACTTGGTGCTGGTTTGAAAGAAAATGGTCCCCTTGGGGAGTGGAACTATTAGGAGGTGTGGCTTTGTTGGAGCAGGTGTGGCCTTGTTGGAGGAAGTGTGTCACTGTGGGGGTGGACAGTGTAGCATAGCAGGGACTGTTTGGAATTTAGACACCTCAGAATTTAGAAATATACTCTACTATTCACTAACAGGCGAACCCACAGCTGACATCAGCCTGAACTCCTAATGTCCGTGAACAGGACACAGTATGAATGATATCCAAGTATCACTGTTATCATTATTTTCTCGAGACAAGAACTTCCTATGTAGTTTAAGCTTCCTTTGAACTTGTTATCCCCCTGCCTCAAACTCCCCATTACTGAAGTTATAAATCTGTACTACTATACCCAGATTTAAAAGTTACTTTGGGCAGTCTAGGTAATTAATAGACATGAAATCCTCACATAGTACCAGGAATATGGAAGGTTCCCAGGAAATATTTTTTTTCTTTTCTCTCTTGACTCTTTACCATAGGTAAGGGGAAAGTGCTGACAACAAATTTTCTGGAAAAATAATTCTAAGATGAGGGAAATGACTTCGTATCACAGCTCAGTAGTGGGATTGTAGCCATGCCTGCTGCTACTTTGTATAGGGACAAGGAGAAGCAGAAGGCATGATGTCAGATTCCCAATTGTCTCCTATTCAGTCTCAAAAGGGAAACACAAGTCCAGTATTCACACAGGCAAGCTGAGCTCTGCTTGAAGCCCTGGGGAGCAAAGCTTTCTCTATGGTCAGAATGATTTTCATTTCAAGAGCAGAGAGAAAACCCTGTTGCTCCTTATTTTCTCACCTCTGGGGGCTCCACCTCTCTTCTCCATTTGCTTTTTTGAGACACGGTCTAGTGCAGAATCCCAGTCTGGCCCTGAGCTTGCAGTAATTCCTGCCTCAGCTTCCCAGGGACTCAGATTATAGGAAGGAGCCACTGGCCCTTGCTCTGTTGCTGTTTTTCTTTCCCTAACACTTGGCTCCAGAAAGTAGATGGAATTCTCAGAAAGTACTCACCCAGCCAGGGAAACAAGGCCCTGGCTTTTCAGTAGATTATCTTCTACTCACAAATCATTTGACACTGACAAAAAACAGAACACTTGGGAAGCAGAAGGTATTGGCGTTGCAGGGAGAATACTTAGGAAAATAAGTCAGAAGATTGAGTCAACACTGCAACTCAGCCCCTGGCTGTACTGTGTGAGCAGCAGACCAAGCCTCTGCAACTGCAGCATAGAAGATAGCACTACTCAGGCCCCACATTGGTGACTTGGTGGCACACATGTGGCCTCAGGTGGTGACTTGATGGCACACACATTGAATAGAGGTGAAAGGTCTACAAGAATTTTGAAAGAAAAGCTGAAATTGAAACCACAGCCTAAAGACAGAGATTTTGAACTTACAGTGTGAACATGGCCTGACTGAATACTTTTTTAAACAAAAATATCAGTTTAAACAGAGATAAACAGATTTCCATAGAATAATTTTCAAGGGAACAGGATATGATCCAAAACTACTTAATATCAGGAAAAACAGGATCTTCATAGAATAATTTTCAGAGGAACAGGATATGTTCCAAAACTGCTTAATATCAGGAAAAACAGGAAAACCTTACCGGGACATGAGGGGAAAGACAACAGATAACAGAACCCAAATGACACAGATGCTATGATCATTTGAAAAAGAATTCCTTAAAAGCCATGTTTCAACAAGTAATGGCAAAAACTCTTGACTGTAAAGACAGAAAGCTATACACACACACACACACACACACACACACACACACACACACACACACACACACACGGTGGGGGGGAGAGAAAAGAGGAAATAGTCAAATGAAAGCTGTACAGGCAAACTACACAGTCCACAGCAGCAAACACATGGGAGGACTTCTAGTGCCTGATGGGACTGAGAAAGGCAAAAGGAAGTAAGCTTGAATAGAGAGCAAGAGAAACCCTCAAACCTAAGAAGAAGAAAGAAAAGATTGTGACAAACAAGAACAGCTCAGGAGACCCATAGGGTGGCGATGGCAAATGTCAGGTACCTGTGGAGAGGAGGTAAAGATCATGGCACAAAAACAAGATGAGAAGTGAGTGGCTGGAGCCAAATCTGATAAATGGGCACAAACTTAGGTCCCAGAAGCACAGTATGAACTTGAATCAACAGAAGTCTGGATACTTAAAAACAAAACTACCAAAAAATAAAGACACAGCAATATCAAATTACCTTGATTTTTTTAATCGCAGGAAATAATTCAAATAGTTGGACTTCTAATCAGAAAGGTAGTGAATTTTAAACAAGTGTTTACAAAACAAAAGAATTTTGCACCTAGATCCAGTGAAGAGATTCTCAGGGCAGTGAGTAGAACAGACACTCCAGATGAGAGAGATGTGGCAGGTCACGGCTGACAGACCTACTTCAGAAAAACTTAGGGGAATTTCTTCAGATTAAAGAGAAGTGATTCTGAGGGGAAAACAGAAATGTAAATATCTTTAT